TTATCAATGGTCGTCCGTTGGGAGAATTTTTTAGGAAAATGCTTCGTGCAATGCCCTTTATCCTGAGCGAAGAGAAACAAATACTTTAAGGTATTTATAGATACCTAAAACACATTGAGTTTTGACATAGGAAATCATAGCAGCCAAAGTAATACTTGTTATGAACATACATCATCCAGGTGTTCACGAAAATCGGATGCAGGTTTTCCCAAAAACTGCTTGCATGCTTGATCCCAGAATAGCAGCTCAGCCTTGTGACGACCGTGCACAACATTCAGCTTCAATTTGTAGAGCCAGTTTTCTTCAGAAGACCGCACTCCGCACTTCGTGCACTCAAACTCATTATCATACTTTATGACTCTTGCACGACATGACCTAAAGTGAATGGGGAAATCGACTTTAGTTTCAAAAAATATATTTCCATGAAATCCTATTCTAAAATAAACCAAAGCTGTAATACAAAACCTTTTGTTTAAATTGTTAAAGAAGGATCTAAATAGCTTAGCTGTTTTAAGTTATTTATTTAGACATCTAAATATCTAAATAAATGTAATGATTAATTAAGAATCTACTTGTGACTAAATATGACTATATCTTGGAGGCTATCACTAAATATGACCTTTTGAAGCATCCCATATAGGCCCAACCGGTAGCATTCAGAATAGCATTTATCTTCCCATAAAACCACAACCCACGAACCTGTTCCAAGGGTACATTATTCACAAATGAAACTGATGAACATACCGTATAACAATGGCAGAATTTGAAATTCAAAAACAAATTGAATGATTATATATACCTCCTTAGTAGTTTGTAGTTCAGACAACATCTTGACAATTCCAACTTCTTTATCATCACTTAATGCAGCTCGTGATGATGTTGAGCTCAAGGATTGTGATGAGCCCATAGCCAACATCCTTAGTAATAATTTCAATAAATGTCAATAGATTGAAATAATTGCTAAAAGTGTTTTTTAAATTTGCTACATACTGCACACTTATCATGGATACTATCAATATTATCACTATCATCATCATCATCATCATCATCATTATTATTATTAATGTTTCAAAAAAAAAGTTTCAAAACATGCACATAATGATAAATTGAACTTGCTTATTCATATGATCGTTGTCATTCCAACCAATTAATTGCATTGAGAAAAGCATCGTTGCGTGGCGAAAGCATCGTTGTCATTACTCAAAGTTATTTGTATGACTTGAAGTGGTTGCATTAATTTTAAAGTTTTAAAATAAAGCTGTCTGAACTAATTGCATCTTTATTATACACATTGCCTTAAATAAGGAAATTCAAAATAATTCCTACTGAGATTAAAAACCGCTTAGAGTAAAAGTTGCCTTAAATTAAAACTTTCTATGTAAATCCTTCCTTAATTAGCAGAGCAACAAATTAAGCAAACCAAGGAACTTAAATATGGAAATATGGAAAATCTTATATGAAAGAAGGTTTAAAAATCGTGCATATATCAAGGGGAGGATTGTGCCTTAAATTAAAACTGGAAAAATTCTACCTCAATTAATTATATATATGGCCTTGGATAAAAAAAAATATGTCAAAATAATTACTACAGAATTTTATAATAAAAACAAACTGCACGATTCAGAATTTTACATTGTGAAAGAAGAGTATGAAGTTTTGCTTAAAAGCTTATAATAAGCAAAACTTTTGAGCTTAAAGAAGACAACGTGAAGCTTTAAAGAAGGCTTTTTTTCTAAAAACACTAATATTTGTATGAAAATTGAGAAATTTCAGGTTAATATCATAAGGGAGGAGGAAGCTTGAAAGCTTTTCTCAAGTACTTTGGTGGAATCAGAATTGAAAAAATGTATGTATTTATAATTAAAAAATAAATTACAATCTAAGATAAAGTCTTACTTATAATCAGGAGGGTTAAGCCTACTTATAGCTCAAATAAGCTAAAAGCACATAGTAATGGCTAAGTATTTGTGGATTAGTCAGAAACTTTTGTAAAAAGAAGTATAAAAATGCATCTCTGTTTTACATTTTTAACTCAAGAAGCTTATAGCTTATACCTTACCTTAGCTTGTAGGGTTAAGTCATACTTCTATCACCATCACCTCCATTGCTACTGTCAGTGTCAGTGTAGGGTATTAAACCAAAGTCAAATATTCAGGACCTTAGCATATTGCAAACAATCTGATAATAGTAGATGTATTTATTTGACTCTTTTCCATAATACAAACAATCTTATGTAGATTATTTGTATGCAGATTTTATAAGCAATAGTTGATAAATCTGTATGTAGATTTTATTTTACTCTTATTTTCAACCTGGAAAAACAGAAAATACCATCATAAGAGATATTGCACAGCCACCTTTATCTCATAAGTTGCGAGAAGGTAAAAATTAAAAACTGTTGCTAAAGAGAAAACAATTAACAAAAGAAAAACAAATGATTCAATAGTTGGAAGAACAAAATATTTCCGGGTTGTTTTCTTCACCTAACAGTAGGGTTAAGCCTACTTATAGCTCAAATAAGCTAAAAGCACATAGTAATAGGCTTAGAACACATACCCCAACAGCATCACAACACAAATGAAGGGAACAAACAGATCCCAAATCCAAGTGTGTAGGGAGAAAACCACCACTTGATTTGTTTTTCCATTGCCAAGGAAATAGCAAAACATACTTCTATCACCATCACCTCCTTCATTGCTACTGTCAGTGTCAGAGTAGGGCATAAAATCAAAGTCAAATGTTCAGGACCTTAGCATATTCCAAAAACATGAAACACAATAGGGCAGGGTCTGTATAGAGTAATTAGTAAGAACTAAGAACATCCCACGATGCTTAATTGTATAACTTTGGTAAAACATATTTATACTAATTCTATATGAAGCTCTCTTTAAAAAAAATGATAACATCACTAAAATACCTTAAACCATTAAACAATCTAATAAACACATTAAGAGAAACAAAATGATGATTTAGACAATAGCAGCAAACACATTAAACACCTAAAGCCCATCATAAGATATTGTGAAAGATAACAAACTATCCCATATACCATTACTGTGTCTAAGATCCATTTCCCAATTCTTGGTTCATGCCAAAAAAACTGAAAAGAAGGAAGAGGAAATCCAACGAAGTCCAATTAAGCAAGACTATACTGATGAAGAATTAGTGCGTGGTCTATGGGATTACATGAATGAATAGGATTTGGAAGATTATCCGTAGCTCTGTTCCTCGGAGAGGGCGGATTCGGTGAGCCGCGATAGCGGTCCCCAAACAGCAGCATCCATTTGTTGATGTGAAGGGATGAGATGAACCAAGGTTATTCGGGTGTTGAGAACCAAGGGCATCAATCGATTTGGCAGGATTTGGGAGCTGGCGATGCGGCTAGCTTCCTTGGTGCTGTGATTTGGGAAGAACGGATGATTTGGGGTTTGAGAAGTTTCAAAAACGAAAGAGGAATACGACTTGGGCAGTGTCGTAGATTTATTTTATTAAAATCGGACGGTGGATAGGAAGCACCGGCTTGGGCGGGAATTTGTTTTGGGGTGTTGTAGTGCTATTAAGGAGAAGATTACTGCACGACATTACGGCACAACATTTTTGCACATCCGGTAAGAATCACTGCACTTTCCGCCAACATTAATTGTCTTCTCATCCACATTAGGAATGTACTTATAGTTATTTTTTGTATTTATTTTTAGATTTAATAACTTGAAAATAGTATTTCAAGTCCAGTTAAATGTATTACATCTCGTGTTATTGTTATTGGTCTATTGCCTTCGATTCGGTACACAGGCCACTTCATCAATGCATTCCAAGACCTATTAATTTTTCTAAAGGGAGAGTCTAGATCCTTATTGAAGTTTAAAGCTTTTCTTAATACTTATCAGGAGGCATCAGGGCAGTCTATCAACCTCTCCAAAAGCTCAGTGATTTGTGGCAAAACATCCCCAGCAAGGCAGAATCATATTAAGAGATTTCTGGGAATGAAGCTGACTACTTTGCCTATTAAGTACCTTGGTGTTAACCTGCACAAGGGTATCAATAGATTTGAGTATTGTAGCAACATAATTAAACAGTTCGAGAAGAAGCTATCTCCATGGAAGCAAAAAAATTTATCACAAGGGGGAGACTTATTTTAATCAAGTATGTGCTAAACTCTATACCATTACACTTGCGGGCAGTTGACACATTGCCTAAAAAGGTGATTAAAGTGCTTAATAGCAAGATGACATCCTTTTTTTGGGGGTCATCTAATGACAAACAAAAACATCATTGGGTTAAATGGTCTAAGTTATGTTTTCCTATGATGGAAGGGGGTCTTGGCATTAGATCGTTAACTGATATTGAGAAGGCATTTACTCTGAAGCTATGGCGGAAATGGAAGACAGGAGACTCTCTTTGGGTGCAAATTATGAAGTTAAGATATGAAAGGGATGGAAGCATGATACATAAAATTACAGATTCCCCTGTTTGGAGAAGGATATGCTCAGTCAATGATCAAGGTTTAGCTCTTAGCACCATGGACCAAAATGGAAATCTCACCTGGGATGAAGAAGATAATGGTCAATTCTCTTTATAATCAGCATATGATGAGGTTAGAGAATTATCATTCAACTCTGCAATCTATCAGCAGATTTGGGAAACCAAGCAAGAGCTTAAAATCAAGTTACTACAGTGCATACTTCAGACAATCTTAGAAGGTTTCAATATGTTTTAAACCCCTCTATGTGTATGCTTTGTAAAAGGAATATTGATTCTATGAAGCATTTATTCTACCAATGTCCTACAGTGAAAGGGGTATGGCAATATTTTCTGAGTATATTTGGGATATACCAATCTCCGAATATGGACTATAGCCTTCACTGCTACTGGAAATCTAGAGCTAGCAAAAATAGCATGGAGGATATTGTTAAACCGAGTATTCCTGGTATAATATGTTGGGTGGTATGGAAATCATATACAAATCTAGTTTGGGGAAATGGGAACACTAGCCTTACTTCAGATAATTTGATTGTTCAAGTAAAATTATATACTCAAAACTGGGTTGCTGGTCTCTTTTTTTTTTTATAAAAAGATATTTTATTAATGAAAAAGAAAGTACAAAAACAAAGCACGGAAAAAGAAACAAAGAAAAAACGAGAAAGTAAATAACCAACCCCAAGTACAATAGAAACCCCCCTCAATAATAAAACCTCAGATCAAGGTTCCTCGCGAGTTTGGGATCTTGTCCTCATATGGTGTGACCGCCGCTTACTCATCCTGTACATTCCAATGCCAGTGTTCAAATTACCTGTAGGTAAGTAATTCTCTCTTGTGATCAACAAAGCTTTGTGTCCCACAGGTCTTCTACTGTCGAGATCGGAACCCTATTCTCATTTTCTGAAGCATGACCAAGATATTCATTCTCCGGATGTGAAAAGAAGGAATCACTATATGCTTCCTCAAAATCAAAACCTTGCTGATAACCTGTATAAGCCTCCATTGGATTCTCTAGAAATGTACACCTAGTAGCTTTCCCTTTTTCCAAAGGTCCCTTTTGGCTATTACCTGAAGACACATTTCTTAGACTATCTGTGGGTGTACACTCCGTAGTGTGTTGTTCTTCACCGTGTTTACCGGCAATGATTCTTTCAAACTCTTTGATTAAAAATTTAGAAAGTGAGTCCACCCCTTGAGTCATAATAGTTTGAAAGAAATCCTTAAGATGTGATAACGAGGAGTCAATTTCAGAATGGAGCACCAAAGATTGGTCACAGAGGTCAGACTTTTCAACATCAATTTGAAAAAGAGTGCCAGAAATTGAAAGCTCATTAGGAGGGAGATCTCTATCCAAGGTGACAAGATCCCACTCAAAATTAGTGTTTTCCCTTGGACTATGTTCAAGTAGTAGAGGTGGCTGTTTGACTTTGACTTCTTTCAACAAAATGATTGATTTCATAATTCCTGACAGAAAGAGCTTAATCCCTAATCCATTCCTTCCCTCGGGAATATACAAAGATTCGCCACCCCTATCAATGATACGGAAGAAACCGCCAAAGCAATTAACATCATAGAAAATAGAAAAAGAATTCTACAGCTCTAATTTGGTGCAAGACCAGTTATCAGATAGAATAGTATAAATGGAGTCCCTTAGCCAAATAATGCTTTCAATATCAATTTCAACACTAGATGAAATGCCACATTTTGTTTCAGATATTCGAATAGTATTGCAACCAATAATATTGAAACAAAAAGTTTTGCTCTCAATGATAAGTTTCAAGCCATTTGATGCCTCTGGAAAACTTTGATACCTATTTCCCCATTGCTTGTCAACCTTCTTGGATGGTCTCTCTAATACCAATGTTCGGCATATTGGAGAAACTTTGATTGCAGAAGGATTGGTTCCTCGCAATTTCAAGCTCAGGGGTTTCAAACCTCAAATCATCAGATGGTTTAAGCCAATTAAGAAATGGAAATTAAATGTGGATGCGAGTTACTTAGTCATCTATTATGCGCGACCGGAAAGGAACGTTTGAGGTAGCAATCTGCTTTCCGGTGGATGCTTTGTCTCCGTTGGAAGCTGAGCTCAAGGCTATATTCTTCAATTCGCTACAAGATGGGCGGTTGAAAAAGGATTCTCCGAATTTCAGGTAGAAACCGATTCTAACCTGGCACTGAAGTATGTCGAAGGTAAAGAAGGAAGAAGATGGAAGATTGAAGTTCAGGAAACTCTACAGCAAGCTTTTAGGAAAGGTTTACAATTTGGGCATACGAATAGGGAAGGCAACTGGGTTGCACATCATTTAGCCCAGATTCATACAGACAAGCTTCTGGTTTTTACGAAGATGGATCAATTGCCTATTTTTGTGAAAAGGGCATTTTGGATGGATTATTTTGGAATTCCTTCTATTAGATTATAATCTATGTATTTTATTTTCTCGGATTTGGTTTGGTCCCCCTGAATTTCTGTGTTTAGCTGTTGACCATTAATAAAAACTCAGTAAATGACCCCTGCATTTACCCCACTGATTTTAGTGGTTTGCCTTCTGGGGTAAAAAAAATACATTCATTCACTATCTACTCTCATGCTCACTTATAGAGTCTATCTCCTAAATTTAGAAAACTAATCCATACCTTTTGCCATAGATGAACTATTAAACTAAATCATAACCGTTAGATTAAAGTAAATTTAACTATTTGAATTGTGAACTTCTTGCTCTAAGAGTGAGCGAATCTGTTTCCTTAAATAGATTGGAAATACATATAATCATTTTAATAAGGTTTTAAATATGAATTTAGTCCCTGCAAATATGATATACTTTGTTTTAGATCCCTGCAAAATATTTTCATTGTTTTTCATCTTTGTAATATACGCTATTTTGGTTTTAGTCCATCTTCAACTCCGAAACAACTCTACTTGAAATTTCTTTTATTGTAAGTTGCATAAATCTACTAGAAATATTTAAATTTATCACTTTGCATAAACACGCTATTTTGGTTTTAGTCCATATTTAAATTTCTTTTATAAATCTACTAGAGAGTTCAAACAATACTAAAACTAATTATTCAATTTTTCAAATATGTATTAAAAATCTTTTAAACATAAAATTAAATATTTTTTGAATGACATGACAAAGAATTAAATGATACCTATTAGTCGAATTTTTTTCGTTGTGATTCTGTGAAACGGAGGTTGTTATCATTAGTCATGGATTAAAAGGAAAACCAACATAAATTTCAAGGATGACAAACAAAGAAAATATTTTGCAGTGACTTGAAACAAAATGTGCTATATTTGCAAGGATTAAAACATATTTATACCTTTTAATAATTAGCATTAGTATGAAGAATTGTGAGCCTATTTGAACACTAACACGCCCCAAGTCTTCATGGAAAACGCCTTTGGATGACATTTTTAGGGGTAAAATAGTTTGTACCATTACTATGTGATCATTAGATTAAGGGAAGACTATTTACGGGCTATGGTAGGCTGAAATCCAGTGCAACTTAGAAAATTTTCAATTTTTTTAGTGTAATTTTTTTCATTTTTCACATTTAGCCCACCCCTCTAATTTTTTGTTATAATTTCTATTCAGCCCAGAACATCTCACATTCCTGGATCCGCCCCTAAATTTAGATTAAAGTACATTTAACTATTTGAATTGTGAGCTTCTTGCTCCAATGAGCAGATCGGTTCTCTTAAATGGATTAAAAATACATATAACCATTTTAATAATTAGTACTACGTACGGTAGTAGACATTCATAATAGCAGATTTAAACAGACCAGACCAGACCAGACTTAAACAGACCAGACCAGACTAGACCAGACTTCCGTAGTTATAAAATACACAGAGACCAGACATTTACCAGACCAGACCTGTTCAGACCAGACCAAACCAGACTTAAACAGACCAGACCAGACCAGACCAGACCAGCAAATTTCAGTCCAAAAGAAAACATCCTAATTATTAAAAATACATATAACACTGTTTAGACCTGTTTAGACACTGTTTAGACACTGTTTGATTGTTATTAACCATTTTGGTAGACATTCTTATAAGTTATAACTGTTTGTTTGTACATTTAAATATTTTCATTGTTTTTGCTTGGACTGAAATTTGTTGGTTTGGTTTGGTCCGGTTTGAATAGGTCTGGTCTAGTTTGATCTGGTAAATGTCGGGTCTCTGTCTATTTTATAATTACCCAAGTCTGTTATGATCTGGTGTGGTTTGATCTAATCTAGTCTGATCTTGTAAATGTCTGGTCTGAACTGGTCTGATCTGGTCTGATCTGATCTAGTCTGGTCTGCTATGGGACTGAAAACAGCCCAAGTAATAACATCTTTAGTGCGTACTAATCCAATGAGAAGGCATGCCTTAGTGGAATAAACACACTTATCCGCAAATCCTAATGATCATGCGTTTTATTTTTCCCATTTGATGAAAGGTATCTGAGTTTAATCGATCAAAATTAGGGGTAAGCACGGTCAAGGACGGAACACGATTTTAATTGTCTCGATCTTGAACTCGATTTAGAATAACGTTTCGAAACAGGAGGGAGCAAGATGTTATCCTACTGTTGTCTCTTTTTAACTGGTTTCATGATAATATTATGAGACGTGAAATCGTGAAACCTTTGGAAGTAAAAGTGAGTTTCTTTTTTATATATAAAAGATAGTTCATAATTGATAGTTTAGAATTTTTTTGATGTTCTCTATGTTAGATAACTAATAGTCTAATTAGACTCTAACACCTGATACTCATTGATATTTGGGTTAATTGTGTAGTAAAATGAATATTAGTATGTAGTTATGTACTACCGAGTATTATTTGAACTGCTAATTAAAACGAAGACAAAATCATTAACACACTACAAAATAATTTTTTTTATTCGGAACACAACAAAACAAAATATACCCTGTATTTTCCTTGTATCCAATGGGATGGATGTAATGTTTGAATTATACTACATTTGTTCTTAAATAACTGTAATATGTTGACATTTAAACTATTCATATGTTCTACTTTACCTACATTTTATTTATTAATGATTTAAAGTGTTTTTTTTTTTTTTGAAAAAATATTGTTAAATTTGTCTCATCTTAAATTTTCAAAGTCTGACTTTTTCATTTCTCAGCAATAGAGAAGTATATTAATGATCAAAATTGTGTCACAACAAATATAAAATATTAACTGTTACATTTATTTAATAACTAAAGAAGTATCAATAACAAGTAAATTATTTTACACGTGTAGGATTATTAGGGAGTATGATTTATGAATTATATCAATCATTTAAATTTTGTGGTCTGCTATCATCAAGTTGCCTGTTGGAGTAGGTGTTTTTTATTGTGTTCCATTCGTACCCTATAAAATCCAGCCTTCATCGACCATGCAGCAAAATCAAACAAAACTGAATCTTGGCTGATACTGTATTATCCATCCAGGTACACCCGAATCCATCGATCGATTTCGGCTTGGGCGGAGCAACCATCTGTGCCTAATTCCTCTTCCACCGATTCTTACCACTCTATTCTAAATCTCTGCCTACCGCCGGAAACAATGGAGAAGGCAGATAAGAAAAACCTGCCGGAGATTGATACCCAGAACACCATTACAATCAAAGGCATCATCGGAATGCTAATGGCGAATGTCGAAGCTAATAAGGATGGCAAAAAGGTGATACCTTTGGGGATGGGTGACCCCACGGTTTATTCATGTTTCCACTCTCCTGCTCTGGCTCAACAAGCTGTTTCTGAGACCCTGTTTTCCGGCAAGTTCAATGGCTACTCACCCACCGTCGGCCTCCCTCAAGCCCGAGAGTAAAAAAAAATCCCTTTCCTATTCCTCGTATTAAGCTACTGTCATATGAATTAAATTAAATCTCCAGTTCTGTTGATATTTGTAAGGAAATGGAATTGAACAGGGCAATTGCAGAGTATTTGTCCGGCGACCTGCCGGAAAAGGTGTCGGCGGACGATGTGTTTGTGACCGCCGGCTGCACTCAGGCCATTGAAACCGCTCTGTCGATTCTTGCGTTTCCTGGCGCTAATATCTTGCTTCCGAGACCTGGGTTTCCGATTTATGCGCTCTGTGCTGCTTTTAGACACCTGGAAGTAAGATATTTCGATCTTATCCCGGAGAAAGGGTGGGAGGTGGATCTGGATGCAGTTGAGTCTCTGGCTGATAAGAACACAATTGCAATGACGATTATTAACCCCGGCAATCCATGTGGAAATGTCTATTCTTATCAACATCTAAAACAGGTTCCATTCTATTCTTATGATTGTTACAATTATTACGAAAATCAGAAAAAATATATAAATGAAATTCTCGTTCAAGGTTTTCATTTTACAATTTAATACTCTTAATTCCTACCTCCGTCCCATTAATACCCTCTCGGAAGATGGTGACACGGTTATTAAGAAAAGTGTATTTGTGTGGTTGATATTAATTGATAAAGTAAGAACAAAGTAAGAATCATTTGGAACCACACAAACTTTGCCAAATATGATATGAGACAATTTAAGTGAGACTTCCCGAAAAGATAAAACGGGACAATACAAATGAGACGGAGGGAGTAATAAATTAATCATCAAATTTTATTTTAAAAGTAACACACTTATAACATCACATCACAGTTATCAAAGACATTATGTCATTTATCCAATATGATTATTTGTCTAAATATACTTAAATTATCATGTCATAATATGAACATCTGTCTAAGTATTGTCTAAATAATATTTAAGTCGTCAACTTTTGATGTCAACTTTTGATATTGATACATTTTGGTATTCTAACACTTAAATGAAGCATATTGATGACATGACAAGTTTTTATGTTGTACTACTTCTGTTCTTTCAAAAAAAAATTGTATTACTTACGTCTCAAATTGATTTATTCACTTAATTAGCACATCGATTCTAATTATACGGAGTATTATAATTTGGATTTTACAACTTTATAAAAATTTTAATGTAGTTTCTGAAAATGTGAATTTTAACTATTAAAAATTGAATTAATTGTCAATAGAGGAGGATTTAACTTTAACATTGATTGACAAAAAATATTGACTTTTCAAATCAATTTGGGATGGAGAAATTATTTGATAAATGAAGTCTAATTACTAGTTTTAAAATTTTACTCACTCGATCCATTTTAAATTAGACATCTTTAACTTTTTCAACCAAAGATGGTAAACTTTGATTGACTATATATTCTTTTACGAAATTATTTATAAGATGAAAATGATACGTAAATGTTTTTTTCTTCAAAATACTATCATAAAAGTGGTTGACCAAAGTTTACCATCATGAATATTATGATTGAATATGTAAGTAAATTTGTCAAAATTTCTAAATTAAAAAATGCTAATATTTTTTCTTTTATTTAACAATTAAATTTTTTAACATGAATAATTATGCAAGTGGCTTGACACATTATTCAAACCACGTAGATTAATGCGCTGCGCAGCCTGCGCTGAATTTTTATACGAAGTATTACATTCTGGGTCGGTGCATTAAACTCACTTTTTGGAAAAGTCATTATGGAAAATTTGTTAACCTTTAATTCACAAAACATGAAAATTAGAGAAAAACGAGGTGATACAGAAAATGTCTGGTCACTCTCTAAGAGTGAAAAAGTTT